ACCAGAAAAGCAACCCTTGATTGAAATCAATTAAAAGGAACCACATACGGATCTGCTGAAGGGCCAGAGCTTAAATATCCCTCCTACCCAATAAAGGTCCAAAGAAAGTCCCAAAGCTCTTGAGGCCACATGGATATCCTGAGAATTTAACATGCCAAAAGAAGGAGGTCTTTACTTCTAAATAATAGTGGCTCTCCTGTGGTTATCCAAAGCCTTCCAGGATTTGCTTTTCAAGCTCTTTATTGAAATTGCTCAGGTCTTTAACTGATCTCCCGTGAGGACTCAAAAGCCTTAAGCTAATTACACTTGGCTGAGATATGCTTGATGAGATGGGAAAAGCAGAAAGATTTTGAAAGGGTGAAAAATCTCTAACCATCTGCTGGTGGTGTTCCTAAAAGTACAATAGGGGAGAAGAGAGAGGGCAGCCAGCCAGAGTGGAAAGGTAGAGGATTTCTTTAATTACTGGGTCAGTGAGACCATTACAGCTTGGAAAGTTGGGAAAGGCCAACCAACCAAGCTTTGACAGTGGAGCCACTACAGTGCCTAGTGAATAAGCTAAGGCCAAACATCCACAACAACAGGAGGACAGACTTGGAGGGAGAAAAACAACAGGTCAGCTTTGTTTAGCAAAGTATTTCTAATTAGAAATCACAGGTAGTTTATGGAAAGGAGAGAGAGGAATGCCCAATGCCTGTTAAGTTGGAATTACATTTCAGATCAACCTCTGTGACTTTTTAAAAGTCTTCCTGGTTATCTTTGGTTCTCAAAGGCAGTGGCAGATGGAGCACCGGTGAAGTGCGTTGCCTCTGATGCCAGTGAGACGGTTGGTTCTGTTATACTTGGCAATCCAGGTGAACAGCCTGCATTTAGCTTTCAAATCAATGCCCCCGGTGTTGGTTCAGTATGGCAAACAGCTTATGCGTGTCGCTGTGAAAGCCGACTTCAGTTCTCCTTTTCTTTTCTTTATAAAAATATCTAATCCCTTCAAATTCAGCTGAGAAAATGTTAGACTTTGGGAACCAACCTGATTTAAAGCCAAGAGAGGACTGCTTAAATCCAAGTTTATTCTTCCTTTGTATAGGGTAACTCCTGCAAGTTGAGCAAGAGTTTTGTTTCAAGTCATATTTTTGTTCTTTTTACAACCTTTGCAGAGGGAATGCCATTTTTCTTTCTCATTATTCCTCTTTCTTTCTGCATCTGAAAATGAATGAAACTACCAAAACGATGAAGTTTTTTTTTTTTTCATTTCTTCTCTCCTTTTATGTCCTGTTAACTGAAACTGGGAAAGAATGATACTTTGGTAGTAAACATTTTTGTTTTAATTCTCGACATAAATATGTATTCTTAGGATGTTCATGGAATAACTGGGGCTGCAGACACATGCAGTGCTTAGTTCCATATACTTCCCCACCTAGGCACTACAGTGTATGTTTCCTCTTCCATTTCACCTGCCCATATGGAAGGAATGTACCATGACCTTGACACAAAATGGCGCTTGCTTTAAGCCACTGATCTCAGGTATAGTGTGAGCTCAAGTTGGTAATAGGTCCCCATCCTTACCACAGGTACCCTAATGCCCAGGATGCCATCTGTAGGTCTTAGGAGTCCACAATGGCGTAAAGAGCCGTCTCCTCCCATGGTGTCTCACATGAGCAGCTAGTTTGGATAATGCATAAGGGCTTACCTATTCTCCAGGTGTGCATCCTGCACCTACAACATCAGCATCACCTCTTTCCCACTGCCTCCAGATCTACTAAACAGACTTGAGGGATAGGAGGGATAGGGTGTAGTTATCTAGCTTCAGCAAAGTTTCAGATGGTGTGGATCCACACTCAAGTTGAAAAAACTCTGCTCCCCGCTGTGGACACATCTTGCGGGGTTGGTGCTACTGGCAGACCAGCCATACCAGGCAGCACCATGCCGAGAGGTCTGGAACATGAGCCTCCAGTTTTCATGTTTTGCTGTCTGGTCTCTAGGGTATCTGAATGTAACTTCCTGAGTATAACAGGAGATGCATGTACACATATACACAGTTCAAGTTTTAATAAAGTCTTAACAGTCTAATTAAGAAACCAAAACATAGCACTTATTGTACAAGAATCTACTTGCAGTGGATCTCAGGAACTTGCACTTCTGGCAAGTTCTCATGCTGCTGCAAAAACACATTTTGAGAACTACCATTCAGATAAGTTTGTCTCTACCCCTAGATAATTAGCCCAGAGAAGGAATGCTTTGAATTTGGGTGTAAAATACTAAAGCAGTACTATTCAAAACATGGACCAGACTGGCAGCCTCACCATTAGTTGGGAGGTTATTAGGAATGAGATGACCAAGCCTACCAAGATTTCTCGGGGTCTCTGGGTCAGAATCTCAGGGGATGGTGTCCAGCAACTTCTGTCCTAAGCACTCTAAGTCCTATGCACAGCTACCTTTGAGAGCCACTGTGCTAGAATAATATACCAATGATGCTGCAGTTTAGCTTTAAACTTTTAGAAAGCTATTAAGGTCAACTTCCCTATTTCCATTTTGTATTAAGGAGAGCCAAATTGGAAAGTTTAAATTTATATCTTTTTTATTTCCAAAAATATTGGTTTGATACTTATTTTTCCAGACCAGAAAATAAAAATAAGCTTTCTTTTCCTTCTTTCTCTTACTCTTTCCTTCTTCTTAGAATTTTTCTCTTTCCTTCTTTCGTTTCCCTAATGCCTTTATGCTTTCCTTTTTGTCTCCTAGAAGATGTATAAATATTCACTGGTACTTACCTTTGAAGGAATCTGACCACTGGCCTGGGCAGAGACCACTTCGAATCCCTTCCCCCTGCTGTGATTTTACACCTGTTGTAGATGTATGGCCATGAATCAATAAGGCCCAATAAGCACAGCGTAAGCACAGCTATACCCTATAATTTCCAATCATTGTTCAGCCCTGCTCCTGACAAACAACATGCGACTCCTTGTACATCATCAAGCTTCGACCTGAGCAGATGGCCATCACTCCTTAGTACCAAATTCTCCCATTCCTTCCACAGTCTCCCTTTTTTATGTTCATGACCCTGTAAAGACTTCATAACCCGTACGAGAGTTACTAGTCCCGTCTCTAGTGTCAGAGCAGTCCTTCTCAGGTTTGTTCTGAAATAACCCTATCCTGTTGAACTCCTACCCTTGCTTCTTTCCTTTTTTGTCCTAACAACAGTGGCCAAAGTGAACATATTTGCTTCAGCTATGTGCAACCAGTAGAAACTGACCGTAGAAGGCATAGATCATCATAATAAAAGCACTGCCTAGTTTAGCATAGGTTATAGGAAGGATAACTTCATGGTACCATCCCAAATAAGGCACAGAAAGATCTTGGGGTTTTTTGGGGGGAACCAAGACAAGCCTGGAGTTTCCATTTAGGAGGAACCATGCTGACTAGTCATATATTAGTTGCTTTTTGCTGCTATAAATTACCATAGATTTAATGATCTTACACCAGGCACACTTCATCTTACAGTTCTGGAGGTCAGACATTTAAAATGAGTCTTACGGGACTAAAATCAAGATGGCAGCTGAGCTTTTACCTTGAGGCTTTACGGATGTGTCTGTTTACTTACCCGTTTCCAGTTTCCGGAAGCCACCCGTATTCCTTGTCCTATGGCCCTCTTCTTCACTTGCTCTCCTCTCTTTTCTCTCCTTCTACCAGACAACAGAACTCCTTCCCTGTTTCTGACACTCCTACTTCTCCTGTCTCTTATAGATACTGCTTGTAATTACATTGGGACCATCTGGAAACCTCTCTCCTAATGAGCCCTAACTTAACTACAGCTGCAAATACGTTACAGAATCACCTGTTCGAGGATTAAGATGGAAATGCCTTTGGAGGGCCAGTATTCTGTTTACCTCAGGTAATTAGAAGACAGTGGAGACCCTTCATGTTCCCTTCAATTTCACATTGTATATATTTTCATAAAGCTTTATTTTCTAATTGTGTAAGGTTTTTCATAATATTTTTAAATGGGGAAAAATAGAATAATGTAACAAAATGTGAAATAATACTGTTAATTTTAAAATTCTCCATTATTTTGAAATTAAAGTTCAATGTCTTAATACATTATGAACCATGTACTGCTTAATTTTGATTATTGTATGAACTATGTTCAGAAGTGTATAAAGCATGAAGTACACGTGAAGCAAATTATGGTTAATATTTAAAGGGGAAATTATGATAAATTGAGGTGAGCATTTTCCTTTGAAATGTGTCTTTAAGAAATAGCTATGAGATTTAGCTCAGTGGTTCTGCTGCCTGCCTTGCAAGCACAAGGTTCTGAGTTCAATCCCTGGTACAAAAAAACAAAAACAAAAAACAAAAACCCAAAAACAAAAAAACCCCAAAAGAAATGTCCATGAGGAGGCCTGAGGTTTGGGCCTTAGCTCTGCAAAATAAATGAAGTAGCTAGCTTCTTTTTCTTCTTTCTCTGAATTTTTAAAATTAGTTTCAATTAAAACCAAAGCAAATAAACTATAACATCTCTGAAAATCGAACTGAAGTGCTTTTAATATTTAAAATGTAACTTCTGACAATGGGGTATTTATCGATTAGGAACCTGACTGATTCATCTTGACATTTCCCTTGAAGCCTCACAGTGAAATGAAGTAACTGCATACAACCAACCCAAAGCCCTTGCTATTGTTGCAGTGCTTCTTTTTCTTTTTTTAAAAAAATCATTGCAGCAGATACCATAAAATAAATGCAGTGAAACATTCAGGCAGCAAGTTCCCTAATTGTTTCCATCTTGATTATAAAAATAAATTGAAAGGTAAGTCCTCACCGTTAAATAAATGAAAAAAAACATTAACATTCAAACTACTTCTTCTACCACCTGCTCTTTACATACTGTGCTGAAATGCAGGCACCTGTGTAAAGAGTAATGAAATTGAGCTTCCTTCTGAAGTGAAGAGAAGAGTAACACGTATATTTTAAAGCCAAATCATATACCAACACATATATCCAAATGCATATACCTTGTGTGTAGTTGGTAGTGTCTGGAAGTTCCTCCATCTGACAAGTCAAGAATGCTTAAATCCAAACCTACATGCAATAAATATTTCACTCAGAATATGTGGAAAAATAAGTTTTGCAGCTTTTTTAAAAACTTAACTATGCTGAATTTATACGCCAACTAGTGTGTGAATTTGGCCTTAACTTTTCCAAACTGTATACATATACAAGTTAAATTTGGAACAAACATTTTGGTCTTTACAAAGAGATGTTTACAAATCCACATTATTTCAATTTCTAATTGCCTTGCCCACTTACACTGTTAATTTGTTAGTTCTGTTACTTTGAGAGGTCTTTATACACAAATGGTTATGATGAGGATCTTTAGCCCACAGCCCTAATGGAAGTTCAGCTGTAGTAAGCTAATAGAAAGCAAAGACTAGTTCACTGGGAAGTAGATGAAACCCCCTTTTAAATACAATGATAAAAAATAAAAGTATTCAGAGGAAACTTAAAACGTTATTCTAAGAAAAGAGCCAAACAAAAACAAGACTAATTAGATATCAATGTGAAGTCAAAGTAAAAGAGTATGTTACTTTTCTCTTGTTGCTATAACAACATATCCCGGACCCAAAGTTGGAGGGGAAGGAGTTTCTTTGGCTTACGTTTGCAGAGGTTTCAGTCCATAGTTAGCTGGCTCCAAGGCAGGATGACAAACAGGCATTGCGGAGGAGAAACAACAAGGCACACACATAGTAGCAAAGGCAACAAAAGGCCTTCACCATGTCTTTCTGCCTCTTTTACCCCATCCAGACTGCCAGGATTAGGGTGGTGCAAAACAACTCAGATGTAGTGGTTTAGTAATCACGCACCCTTAACCCCAGCACCACACATTCCAGATTAAGTTACCTCGGACCAAATGAAGTTTTGGGGGGACATCCAAACCCAAACCATAACAGTAAGCTTCTGAGTAAAGTGTTTCAGGGGTTTCCTGAGTCCCTTTAATGACCTGAAAAGGTTGGAGCCCATGAAAAGTTGCTGTGGGGATACTTTTGTGGAGGCTGTCAGCAGAGGGAGCCATTTTGCTCCAATCTACTGACTCAGGAGATGAGGATAGAGCAAACCTGCCCACAAAAGGGTGAGGCATTGTGGGAACAAACTGGAGTTTCCAGGAAGACATCTCAAGAGAATGCATCTGTGTCTCTGTGTTGATAAAGGATTCATAATTTTGGAGCTCTTGTATCAAAAGAAGGAAGTTCGGACTCAGGGTGGTTTGGGCTACATTAACCTGGATGTTACAGCCAGGACTCAGCTAAATTTTTCTGTAAATTTCCAGGTAGTAAATGTTTTAGGATTTGCATGTTCCCATAAAACTTTATTTATGGACCCTGAAATTTGAATTTCATATAATTACATGAGTCCTATACCAAAAGCCAGCACAATGCAATGAATGTAATATTTTATGGTCCTTACTGACTAGAGTCTATAATGCGAAAAACACAGGACTCAATGATAAATGAACCCATCTGGCTGCATCTCAGCTGCCAGCAAATCCCCAGGTCCTCACTCCTCCAAACAGCTAGGAATTTGCCGAATGCCTCGCCCTGGCCTGGGGCTTCCACCCTATCACTTCTGCTGTGGTGACTTCACTCCACCTCTCCAGTTTCCATTGACAGCTGATAGTGAGGGTGGCTGTACTTGGACAAAACTGATCCCTAAGTGATAATGGGCTACAAGAGACTATATAATGAAAAAGATATCAATTCATCAAGAAGTTATGATTGTAAATATTTATACACTAAACATCAGAGGGTCTAAATATATAAAGCTAATACTATTCAGATCTGAAAGGTGAAATGGTAATGCAGGACACTGGGGACGTTAATAGCCCCACTCAGCAATGGCTGATCATTCAGAGAGTCAGTAAGAAAAGACTGGTTTTGAACAACATTATGGACTGAAAAGACATAGCGTCTTTGTGCAGAACATTCATCTAAAAGCAGCAGAATACAAATTCTTCTCAAGTGCAATAGAATAGTCCCCAGAACAGATCATATATTAATCACAAAACAATTTTAACGAATTCATGAATATTTAAATTGTATCAAGTATCTTTTCAGATCAAAATGGTAAAAAAACTAGAAATAAAGAACTAGAAGAATTTTAGAAAATTCACAAATAAATGTAAATTAAACATGTGCCCAAGCAACCTAGCAGATCCAAGAAGTCAAGAAAAGGCACAAAAAAATCTTGGGACACATAAAACTGGAAGCAGTATACTAAAACTTATGGGATGCAGCCTAAGAAGTAGTAAGAGAGAAATTTATGGTTATGAAAACTTACATTAAGCCAAAAAGAAAACATCAATCTAACTTTGCAGCTCAAGGAAATATATATATATTCTGGTTTAGAGACAAAATTTCTAATATCTAACATAAAATAGAAAAATTACACAAGAAATAAAACAGGAATTCATACAATTTAATAGCAATAAAATAAATAATCTGATTTAAAAAGAGGACAAGGTCCATGAATAGCATTTTCAAAAGAAGATATGTAAATGGCCAGGAAATACATGACAAGGTGCCCAACATTATGAACCATCAGAGAAGTGGAAGTCAAAACTACACTAGATAGGACACTACACTTATTAGGAATAGTTCTTATCAAAAACACAAGAGTTCATAGGTGCTGGCAAGTGTGACGAAAAAGGAACACTTATAGATGGTTCATGGGAACATAAATTAGCACGATCACGATAGGCAATAGTGTGGATGTCTCTCAAATATTTTAAGACAGAACTATCATATGATGTAGCTAAACTACTTCTGAGTGTGTACTGAAAGGAGAGTAAATGAATAGCTGATTTATTGGAGCATTTGTACTATCCAAGATAAGGACAGAGACTACATGTCCATCAGTGAATGGAGGAATGGATTCATATATGGCAAGTAAATTACTATATTATATGACCTTGTCTATATTTGATCAGCACGGGAATTTTGACCTGCTCCATTTCTGACCCGGGCCGGTTCACCCCTCCTTAGGCAATGCTGGTGGTCCCTTCTCCTGGGAAGTCACCATAATGATGCCCAACTTAGTGTAGACATCAGATTGGCACAGCGCCCAGCAGCCCAGAGCTCCCAGACTCAAGTGATCCTCCCACCTCAGCCTCCTGAGCAGCTGGAACTACAGGCATGTGCCACCATGCTAAAAAAAGTCAAACTTACCGAAACAATAAAATAGTGGTAGCAAGGAGTTGGAGGTAGGGAAAATGGGGGCGGTTGTTGATCACGGGATACACACTTTAAATTACAAGATGACTAAGTTTTGGGCCTGGTAGCTTTAGCTAACAATATCATATTGTAAGCATGCAATTTTCCAAAAGAGTCAATTTTGAATGTTTTCACTATAATAAATAAATAAATAAATGTAAATTGTGAGGTGATAGATGTAACTAACTTGCAAATGACCGTAATTTCACGACATATTCATATATCAAGTCAGCATATTTTATACTTTAAACTTGTACAATTTATCTATACTATACCTCAACAAAGCTAGTAGGACAATATAACTACCACCTGTGACTTTGTTTCCTTACACCACTTTAGTGTTCAGTATATGAATTATCAGTACCTGATGATATATAATTTATCTATCTATCTATTTCTCACATTCAAATGTTGACAGTAGCTATTAGTACCCTTAGCCATCCAGGGCTCTCAGGCCTAGTACTTTGAAGGTCCTTCTCTGGTTCTCTTCTAGCTATGCCTGTGTCCATGGGACTAAGGGTCTGTGGGGTCAAGATGGCGAGTGCACCATCCTTTGAATACCTAAAGTCTTACAATTTCTAACCACAATGACCCTGAATGTTTTCAAAGGGAGGCAGGGAAAACTCCTTCCTTGAAGATCTGAGGAGTGACTAAGATGTGATTTTCAAGGAATACATAGGCTGTACTTGCAGATGGTATAAGATGTAGCAGGAAACAGAAAGGTAGGGTTGAAGACAGGAAAACCACTGTCTCCTGTCCTGAACCCACAGGACAAAAGGAGAAGCCCAACAGTGGCTTTGTTGGTCTTGCTCAGTTCTAGTTCCAGTGTGGTTTCTGGCATGTATTACATGCTCAGTAAGTATTTGTTGAATAAATGCATGGATGAAACAATTTACACTCTCTTAGATATATAATGTAGAGTGGGGCAATCTGCTTATCTGCTGATAAGGATCACAATGCTAGTCAGATTTATGGTTAAGAAAAATATAACATTCTTTATCACCTATGATCAAGTTTTCCTGGTCTACTTACAGTGTAATTTTCATCTTAAATAAAGATATTTCATATACATTGTTTTCACATGTTAACATAACTACATTGTTTTCATATGTCAAAACCTCTGAAACAGTGAATTGTTGAGTAAATTCTTGTAGGCCAAGATAAGGTGACAGAATTCACCATATCTGTATATTCACTAATATCATACCCAAAGCTGCCAAAACTTACAGAATGATTTTGAGTGGCTTGGATGAACATCTCTAAAAATAGTGGTGAAATAGGAAGAGAGCTGGTAAAATGGAAGTGTTTAGCAACAGTCTGTAAATAGAAGCAAAAAATGCAAGCTAGTGCTACAAAATAGAGGACAGAATTGCTAGAAGACTTAAAAGCCAATGAGTTATACATTTTCTAAATTTTGAACCATCCAAGACTTGACAAAGAGGACTATAGTGCATGAAAAAACAACAGAGATATTGCTGACTGAAAGTGATGCAGAAATGGGACCCCAAAATGATGGAATTTTAACGATGATTTATTTATCCTAAAATTTTCTTTCTATTCATTCTCCAAAGTGATGTATCATAAAGTTTTAACTTATTCAGTCAGCCTAGCAACATATTTTAATTAATGTAAATGTAAAGCCCAAATGATAAGAAATTATTGTGTTTTCCTTTCATTATTGAGATTTTAAATATTTCTTAGTAATACATAAAATGATGGTACACCTTACAATTGGGGTATCTTAGAAGGGCATTTGCCTCTATAATATGTGTATAGTATAGTATAATGATATGCTTATAGAATAGCATACTGCAC